AATGGATCAGAATAATCTAGGTCAGTAGGTCAGTACTGTCCAATAGCTATCTAAGAGTCATATATATAATAAATTTTCTAATAGCTACTTTTAAAAAGAGGAAAAGAAACAGGTAAAATTAATTGTAATAATACATTTCATTTAAAACCAATATACCCCCAAATACTGCCATTTCTACATTTATTACCAATATAAACATTATTAATAAGATATTTAACATATTTTTTCCCGTTAGTCTTTGAAAATTGGTATGTGTTTTACACTTACAGCACACCTCAACTTGGATGCCAAACTTTCCCAGGACATACTTCATCTATATTTAGATTCATACAATTTATAGTTGCCAGCAGCATTATTTCATAATAGCCCCAAAGTGGAAACAGCTCAAATGTTCATTAAATTTTGAATGGGTGAACAAAGTGTGGTATAGCCGTACAATGGGATATTACTCGGCAATAAAAAGAAATGAAGTACTGATATATGCTGAAACATGGATGAACCTTGAGAACAGTTTGCTCTGTGAAAGAAGCCAGTCACAAAAGACCACAATGTATGATTCTATTTCTATGAACTGTCCATAAAAGGCAATCCATAGAGACAGAAAATAGATTAGCAGTTGCCTAGAGCTGGGTGGGTTGGCAGGAAATGGGAGTGACTATTCATGGGTACAGGGTTTCCTTTGGGGATGATGAAAATGCTCTCTAGTTTGTGGTGATGGCTGCAAAACTCTGATTATACTTAAAGTCATTGACTTGCACACTATAAATGGATGATTTTTATGATGTATGAATTATGTCTCAATAGAGACGTCAAAAAATTTCCAGTTGAAAAAGTAGATTAACATACCTACATTATTCCAAAGATACTTAAAAGTATTCCAATAACAAAATGGAGTTTTAAAATTAAAATTAATTAAAATTTAAAGGTTCAATTTTCAGTCATAGTAGTTGTATTTTACGTGCTCAACACCTCCACATGTCTAGTGACTGTTATATTGGGAAGTACGGGTCTGATCGGCCTAATGCTTGTGGAAATTACATATAGTTAGACTTCTGTGGCTGAGTGCAATAGGATCTTAAAATATAAGGAATAAAATTGCTGACCACAATTTATCTTTTTGTATACAGATTTTGAGAACGTGAAAAGCAGTCTGTTGCAAAGTAGCACAAACCTGAACCTGGTCACTGACTGCATGGAACACGCTCTGACATCTGTGCATCCCCGCACTCGATATTCTGCTGGCTGGGATGCTCAATTTTTCTTCATCCCTCTATCTTATTTACCTACATCACTGGCAGACTACATATTGACTAGATCTTGGCCCAAACCAGCCCAGGCAGTCTAAAGAAAACTTGCTTTGTGGCTCTTGAAATGAAGAAGGCAAAAATCTGAAATTGAGTGTTAGTGTTCCAGTAATCCTTACTTAAAATCTATATTTTCGGCAACAATAAGCTTTATTGCCTAAACTCATTTATCTGGCATCATCAGAGAAACAGCATGTTTATATTCCAGATATTCAAAGTTTATTCCTTATAGGTGATGAATCTTTACTATTTTAAACAGTTTTTGATGACAATATTTTCAAAATGCATCATTCTTCCTTGTCTTATTAAACAGAGTGACTAAAAACAATTTAATTTGTTTTGATACTGTTTCTTTATGTAAATTAATAGCTGTTCATGATGTGAGGAACTATTGCTCAGGGACCATTAAGAAGTATGTGGGTCTCTTTATCTTTACTTGAAATGGGTGTACTTGGTAATTTTTTTAAATATTTAATTTTGTTTTCTCCTCTCTATTTGCCAGCTGTTTTTGAATATATTTCTTCTTAACTTGAAAAGAATTGTCTTCCAAGGCAATAGAAATAAGAGCAAAGATAAACCAAATGGTATCTAATCAAACGTACACACTTTTGCATAGCCAAGGAGCCATCAACGAAACGAAAAGACAACCTGGGGACTGGGAGAAAATATTTGCAAATGATGCAGCCAACAAAAGCTTAATTCTCAAAATGTACAAACAGCTCATACAACTCAGTAACAAAAAAACAAACAACCCAATTAAAAATGGGCAGAAGACCTAAACAGACATTTCTCCGAAGACACACAGATGGCCAATAGGCACATGAAAAGATGCTCAATATTGCTAATTATTAGAGAAATGTAAATCAAAACTAGAATGAGGTATCACCTCACACCAGTCAGAATGGCCATCATTAAAAAGTCCACAAACAATAAATGCTGGAGATGGTGTGGAGAAAAGGGAATCTTCCTACACTGTTGGGATGAATGCAAATTGGTGCAGCAACTATGGAAAACATATGGAGGTTCCTTAAAAACTAAAAATAGAGTTGCTGTATGATTCAGCAATCCTACTCCTGGGCATATATCCAGAAAAGATGAAAAGTCTAATTCGAAAAGATACATGTACCACAACGTTCATAGCAGCACTATTCATAATAACCAAGACATGTAAGCAACCTAAATGTCCATTGACAAATGAATGGATAAAGAAGATGTGGTATATACGTGTGTGTGTGTGTGTGTATGTATTGTTTTTCAGCTGTTCTCTCTGGTGTTAGAACACTACCAGTAGTATTTTCTCGACAGTTAAATGGAGCATAGAATTACCCACTGCATGTCAACTGATCCAATATAGGATCACACTGATTTTTCATGTCCCTGTACTCCCATTTAACCTATAATAGTTTCTAAACTTAAAAAATCTCTTATGCTTCTGACATTTTTGAAGAGTATAGGCCAGTTATTCTGCAAAGTGGCCTTCGATTTGGATTGTATGACCTGCTCTCATGATCATATCCAGGTTACGCATTTTGGCAGAAACGCCACAGAAGTGATAGAGTGTCCCTCTCAGGCCATTACACCTGTAGGCACAGAATGCAAGTTTATCTCATTGTTGGTGATGTTAAGTTAGAACCCTTGGTTAAAGTAGAGTGCCAAGTTTTTCTACTGTAAGGTTAATATGTTTTCCTTTGTAATTAATAAGTAACTTGTGAGGATATTTTGACATTATATGGATGTCTTGTTCCTCATTAAACTTGTACTCACTAATCTTAGAATTATTAAATAATTCTTTTTAAAATCAGTTCTTACTATGATGGCTGCAAATGGTGATTTTTAACTCCATCATTTCATCTACATTTACAAGTTGAAATTTCCATCTCCTTTTAAAAAATTATTATTAAGAATGGAGTCATAGATTCTTATTTTATTCAACTGGTTATAAGCTATTTCTGTCATTAAATGCTTCATATTTTTATAATTCCTATACCTATTGCACTAAAAATATCCAATCTACTATTTGAAGTTCAATATTTACTTGTGGTTCTTTTTGCCTTTAAACTGAAAATATATACAGAACTTCCAAAATTGGGTCTTTTCTTCCCATTCAGTGTGTTTTTATTATTTATTTGAAATATAGTTTGGTTCATTCTACTTCTGTTATTATTTAATTTGGCCTCCTCCCCTGCTCCCATATTCTTATTGATTTAATTTTATTCTTTGAATATATAAAACATTAACATGATCCTAAGTCCAACCTAAATTATTTTGAAGAAATCTCAGACATCATATAGGGACTGTAGTTTTTCAAATGTTACCATTTGCAATAGCAACTATAAAAAATAAGGTACCTAGGAATAAATCTAACAAAAGATAAGCAATATCTTCACATAGAAAATTATAAAATTTTATTGCAAGGCATTAAAGAAGGCCTAAGTTAATGTAAAAACATACAATATTCCTGAATAGGTATTCTCAATATCAGAAAAAGATACATCAACTTTCCCCTGAATACTTTATGAATAATTCCAATCCAGTCAAAACCCAACAGCATTTTATTCAAATTGAGAAGATGGTTTTTAAATTTAATTAGAAGAGCAAAAGGGCATGCAGAACCAAGAGAACTTTGAGAAACAGGGTGAGAGAAACTTGCCTCTTCAAGCATCAAGACTTACTATAAAACTGTAATAATATAAACAAATAGATGGAAAGTAAAGATAGACAAACAGATGTAAAGAACAGAGTGGAGAGCTGAGAGACGCAGAACTAGATCTAACAGTGGTATCATAAGGATGTAGTGGGGAAACAAGTCAATAATGGTGATAAGACAACTGTTTTTTCCTATGGAGAAGAATAAAATTAGATCCTTACCCCATCCCACACACAAAAATGGATTCCAGAGGAACAAATACCTAAATGTGCAAAGCAAAACTTTAAACATATCAAACTAAAACATTGAAAGCATATTTACTTACGTCTTTGGGATAAGCAAGTCTCTTTAAACAAGATACATGCACAAACAGAATCATAAAGGAAGAGTATTAAGTCTGACTACAGTAAAATTAAGGACTTCTCTACATCAAATACACTCCTTATGTAGGTCAAAAGACAAGCCACCAGTTGGGAGATATGTTAACACCAGAGACAACCACAAATTTTAATAAGAATAGAAATAACTCCTCAAAATTTGTAAGCAAAAGAAACTTTGGTAGAAAAATGGATAGAGGAAAAGAAAATCTAAATCACCAATAAACATACAAAATATGCTCATTTTAGGGGGTAGAGCTCAGTGGTAGAGCATTTGACTGCAAAATGTGCTCATTTTAACTCATAACTGGAGAAATGCAAAGTAAATCCACAGCGAGATACAGTTTCACATTCATCATACTGCCCAAAATTAAAAAGCTAACACCAAAATTGAAGCTGTAGATTAATGGGAGACCATACACTTCTGATGCAAGAGTAAATCTGTACAATCATTTTGGTGAGCTATTTGGGAAATAGCTGATAAAGTTGAAATACATTTGCCCTATGACCCAACAGTTCCACTCCCAGATACAGATCATTAATATCATACATGTACAAAAGGAGACTTGTACAAGAATCTTCATCGCTCTACTGTCTGCATCATCATAAATTGGGAAGAACCTATCTGTCCATTCACAGGAGAATGGATAAACTGTAGTATGTTCATATAATCGTCAGCCAGCTTGTCTATATCTATCTGTCTAGCTAGCTATCAATCTATCCGTCCATTTGATGGTTACTGTGAACAAAATTAAGCTACATATACTAACGTGGGTAAATTTTAAGAACACAATGACTGAAAAAAATAAGTTGCAGAAGATATGAATAGTGGTATGATATCTTCTGTTTAAAGTATTAAAACTTACAGAAAGTCCTATATATTGTTTACGGATAAATCTACATAATAAAAGTACTAAAGAGTTTATGAGGATAATAAACACCAAATTCCTGATGGTAATAATCTTTGATGATTTATGAAGAGTATATTAGAGATGTCAGTTGAAATAATACTGTTGCATTTCTTAAGTTGGGTGTTAGATACATAGGTGCAGGTATTAATTAATGCTTACACTATTTTGTAATAATAAAAATTAAATCTAAAAACGCCATAATCTGTGTAATCTCGAAGTGTAGGAATGACCTCTTTAAATACCTATTACTATGCCCTGTGTATAGTAAATAGTAAAAAACACTTGTTGAACGTAAAAAATAAACCATAGTTTTTCAATAAAGTGTAGTAATTTTTATCTGTCTTGCTATGTTCTTCTTAGTGGATGTTGCTGGAAATTTAATTGCAGCCAGACACTGTTTTGAAAGATTTGTTCAAGTAGATCACTAACAAGAAGACCGGTTTATCCTGTCAAATGATGTAAATGAAGTGTAGAATATTTAGAGGGTAGCAGCAGTACAAAATAGCTTAGTCCTTGGGAAGGAAATCATCAATAAATGTGTCAATAAAATTTTAATCTCTAGGACCTTGCACGTAGTAGTTATTAAATAAATATTTGTTGAATCCAGCAAATACAGGAAATACAAAATTATATAACGTGTAAATGCTGTTTTTCTCATGCTTTGGGAGGGAGGTTTTCTTGAGAAGTTAGCAATCCTAGAAACAAGAATCACAATTTAAATTGCTGACTGGAACACAAAAAAGTGAGAGAGCTCTATGCACATTTAGGAGTTTTCTTCCATAGATTAGACAGTTTTGCAATGCTAGAAGCCTCTAAACATTCACTTAGATCTGCTGGACAGGATAAACGAAACATTGATCTTCCTGTTAATGAATTACTTGAGCAAAATCTCCAAATCATTAACTTCTTATCTACGTGGAAGGCTGCATCTGAGATACATACATTATTCAGCAAAAAATACAGAGTAGCACATACAGTGTTGGGAAAGGGAAAATTTCTCTTACACCCTCCCTTCTTTGGTTCTTTTTGGCTGGTCGAATAATTAAAATGACACGAGACAGGTTAACTGGGGAAAGCTGAATTTAATTTCATATGTATGGGAACCCCAGAGACATGAGAGGATCAGACAGGAAAGTAAAAAGAGGCAGATATGCCATCCTGACCTAAGGAATGAGATAGGGGCCTCACACTTCCAAGGACAGGAGGGTCATTCATAGGATGGTAAGAAGAGCAGATGTTTAGTAATTAGATGTTTTCTTTGCCATATACATGGGCCCACTTAGACAAAAGTTGTATCTGACAATAACTCCTTTTTTTTTCCCTGGGAAAAAAATCCCAAATTTAAATTCTTCTAGGTAGTTAAGAGGAGCAATAGTTTATCTTGAGCTCACAG